TGATTTCCTGGCTGCAGTCCCCATTTCTATGAATGTTTGATCCCAGGTTACAAAAAGATAATGCATGGGATATGCTCCTGAGTGCTCACACTCATTATATGCATGACTTTAGAAAGCACTGAAAAGTGGAGCTTGGTGGCAGAGCGTGATTTCTATATCAAAGGCATCAGGTTTAATCTCTGACATCTTTAGATAATGATGGAAAATGCAGTGTGAGTCAGCTTCGAGTGCTGGAATGGCACTGAAGATACAGTATTCAGGTTCTAGTCCTCATCTAGCCATGAAACTCACTGAGGCTGCATCCGCACTGCAGAAATAATCCAGTTTGACACCACTTCAACTGCCATGGCTCAAGGCTATGAAATTCTGGGAACTGTAGTTTACTGTGGCACGGGAGCTCCGGAAATTAATCCGGTTTGAGACCACTTTAATTGCCATGGCTCCATGCTATGGAATTCTGGAAATGGTAGTTTGCTGTTGTAACTACCATTCCCAGAATCCTTAGCATGAAGCCATGGCAGTTAAAGTGGTCTCAAACCAGATTGTTTCTGCAGTGCGGATGTAGCCTCAGTGACCTTGGGCCAGCCATTTTCTCTCAGCCTGACCTACCTCGCAGGGTTGCTTAGAAGGAGGTAGGCTACTGTGAAAACAAAGTGGAACAAGCAAATCAATAAATAGGACCCTTCTGCTTCTGTCAAACTTTGCAGATATAATAATAATAATAATAATAATAATATGTTGCCTGTCTGTCTAGGCCAGGAGTAGGCAACCTTTCTCCTTTAAGGGCCGAGGGACTTCAGCTCCCAGAAGCCTCAGCCATCTTGGCCAATAGCCCCTGGGATTCTGGGAACTGAAGTCCCTCGGCCCTTAAAGGTAAAATGTTGCCTGTCTGTCTAGAACTAATCTAGAGGAACTAATGACCTCACCTTGTATAAGGCAGCTTCCATATTATTAATGTTAAGAATTCAGCATTAAATAATGGTTAGGCAAGTCTTAGTTCAGCCACTGTAAAAACCCAGAGGGTGACCTTGAGCAAGTCACACTCTCTCAGCCTCAGAGAGCAGCAATGGCAAACTCCCCCTGAAGAAATTTGCCAAGGAAACCCCATGATAGGTTCTCCTTAGGATTGCCATAAATCAGAAATGACTCGAAGGCACACAACAACAACAACAACAACAACAACAACAACAACAACAAATGGAGTCCTAAGTACCCTAAATCTTGGAAGCTAAGCAGCATCAGCCCTGGTTAGTACTTGGAAGGGAGACCGCCAACGAATCCCAAGTGCTGCAGGGAATATTTCAGTGGAAGGAAGTGGCAAATCCACCTCTGAGTATTTATTCCTTGGTTCAAAAAAACCCTCTTATGAAACCTTATGAAATTAATGGGTGTTGCCATAAGTCAACAGGCACACTCTGGCTGCATCTACACTGGAGAAATAACCTGGTTTGGCACCGCTTTAAGTATCCTGGCTCAAAGCTATGGAATTCTGGGAAATGGAGTTTGTTGTGGGGCCCTCTGGGCCCCACAACAAACTCCATTTCCCAGAATTCCATAGCCTTGAGTCAAGTCAGTTAAAGTGGTGCCAAACCGGGTTATTTCTCCAGTGTGGATGAAGCCAAAAATCAGACACAAAGGATAAAAAAAGTACATTCCTCATTTGAATCCACACTGGAGGGGGAAAACCCAGTTTGACACCGCTTTAAGAGCCACGGGATTCTGGGACGTGTACTTTTTGTGAGCTGCCTAGCCTTCCCTGTCAGCAACAGACTAAGGGCCTGTACAGACTGCCAGAAATAATCCAGCTTGAGACCACCTTAACTGTCCTGGCTCAGTGCTAGGGAATCATGGGAACTGTAGTTTGTTTTTCTTTTTGAGACACTGAGCCTTCTCTGTCAGAGAGCTCTGGTGCCACAAAGTGGCCTCATGCTGCATTATTTCTGGGAGTCTGTACAGGCCCTACAAACCCATAAAAATGGAGCCATGGTAGTTAACGCGGTATCAAACCGGGTTGTTTGTGCAGTGTGGCTGGGGTAGCACCTGGGTCCTGGCCTCGCCCCGTGACTCACCGCCCTCCGGGGCCGCGAAGGCGCCGCCAGTCCTCTCCCCCAAAGCAGCTGCTGAGGCCCGGGAAGCCCGGCGGGGGGACGCCGGCAGCAGCCCCGCGACAGCCACAGGCACCGATGCGCCATGGCCTCCCGCGCAGGCCCCGCTCTCTCTCTCTCTCTCCCCTTCACACGCGCGCGGGGGCGGGGCTTCAGGACCACGCCCCCTACGGAACCGCTGCCGGTGACGCCATCACGTCGCCCTACCTGCTTCCTTCCCACGCACGCGCACAATTGCCTTTGCGGCCGTTGCTGTTAAAGGCGCCGTGACCTATATTTCCCCCGTTGCTGTTAAAGGCGCCGTGACCTATAACATCTGGAGGACCACATCTCCAATTGGTCAGGGGTAGGCAACCTTTCCCCTTTAAGGGCCGAGGGACTTCAACTCCCAGAATCCCAGGAGCTATTGGCCAACATGGGACTATTGGCCAACATGGCTGAGGCTTCTGGGAGCTGAAGTCCCTCGGCCCTTAAAGGGGAAAGGTTGCCTACCCCTGACCAATTGATTTTCTCCTGTTTTGGTTTGTAACATCTTGCCTGATGCAGAAGCCAGTGGAGCTTCGAAAGCTTGCAACAAGTATATTGTGCATTTTGCTTGGCCAATAAAGGTATCACTCGTTAGTGGATTTTTGTTTGAATCTGGAGGACCAAAGTTTGGGAGCCACTTTAAATGTTGGGCTACAACTCTGGAGAACCAGGGTTCGAATCTCCACTTAGGCATGTAAACCCACTGGTCAAGTCACACTCTCTCAGCCTCAGGGGAAGGCCATGGCAAACCTCCTCTGAACCAATCCTGCCAAGAAAACCCCAGGATAGGTTGGCCTAAGAGTCGCCATTAATCAGAAGTAACCTGAAGGCACACAGCAACAGCAAGCCCAGCAGTGCTGGTGCCTCACAAAACTACAAATCCCAGGATTCTGTAGAGTGGAGTGAACGTTGTATCAAGTTGCATTATTTCTACAGGGTAGACAAACCCTTAATGAGCTCTCCAGGCTAGGGCTGATGGGACTTGTAGTCCAGTAATATCTGGTATGGTGCCTCCTTCCACGCCCTCACTATATTTTGATGCTGCCTGTTCTTTGTGTTTCTGACAAGGCAGCAAGCAAGGGATGAAGACATTAAGGCCAAAACACACTGCAGAAATAATGCCAGTTTGAGACGGCTTTAACTGCCCTGGCTCAGTGATAGGAAATCCTGGGAATTGTAGTCTGTTGTGGGAATTGTAGTCTCTGACAGAGAAGGCTAAATGTCTCATAAAAATACGGTTCCCAGAATTCCCTAGCATTGAGCCAGGAAAGTTAAAGTGCTGTCAAACTGGATTATTTCTGCAGTGTGTTGTGGCCTATTCGTTTCCTCGCACAGAAGTGGGATTTGTGGGATTCCTAGAAAAAGTGGCCCCATACAATAGACTCCACTCAGAAAAGGAGGAAAATGCTCACAGCTTCTGAAGGATGGGCTTGAAGCACTCAGTCTCCCCTTTTTGTATTTGCTGAAGGAAAAAGAGAACCAAGGACAGATTCTTTGTTTTCTTTCTGTTCATCACAGCCTCCATTTGAAAACGAGTCCAAGAAGAACGTCACCCGCTGGACGGAGACACTATTAGAAACTCCACAACCATTATTAACCATTCCCACTTACAAATATATCAGTTTGCAATCTGACTCAATGGATTGGTTCAACAGCGGAGCGTGGTTCACACTGGGAAGATTATTTGCACACTTTAATAAACTGGTTTACCTGGGCGGCAATTTCGGGGGCAAAATCCTTGCAATAGTGTCTGGACACTGCCCGCATTTTTAAGCCGGATCAGGTAAACCAGTTTATTTAAGCGTGCGATCGCATTTTCTTGTTGTAAAATAACTCATTTGTCATTCACATTGACTAATGAATTGATTCAAAATGGACTCTCTTCAGCCGGCTGGCAAATTTAAAAGGTAAATTTAAATCAATTCTGATTCGCATCCCGTTCACACTT